GTGGAGGGTCAATGAAGAAGGGGAAAGCCCTCAACAAGATGGATTGACACAGTGGCTGCAATGATGGGCTCAGGTACAGCAAGGAGCGTGAGGCTGGCACAGGACCAGGCAGTGTTTGGTTCTGGTGTGCATAGGGTCGCTATGAGTCGGAGATGACTCAACGGCAATTAACAACAACTACTTCTGTTTACATAAAAATCTAAGCTATATAGCTCATTCCTTTAGAAAAATACTAATTAAAACAAAAGATTGAAGGATTTCTCTTATATTTAGGATGAATCTATAGATTATCCTCTGCTCCGTCTGCTTTCTTGTATGCACTCCTTATCATCCCAAATTACATGTCAGTATGAAAAATACTGTTACTGATTTTGGAAAGGAGTGGCTTGTTTGTGCATTTTTAGTTTGCACAGTGGAAGAAGAACTTGGGGTAACATTACTACCACCACCACTTTCTGGGAGAGAGCCAGGACAAAGCACTCAGTATACCATGGGGAATTCTTAGAGAGTTAAATTCTGTAACTCAGTTTAAACAGAGCTCTCTGTCCCCAGAGGGGATAGGGTATCTTTTTTCTTGCACAAAGTATCAGATGGATGAAGAATATCTTTCCATAGCCTTACAATAGCCTATCCATGTGGAAGGGAGAGATATGTTGGCTAGTTTTCATGATACTGAGATGTTTGTCCAGTTTAATGCCTAGGAATTAGGAAAATAAAGTATATTGTTCAAGATAAGCTCAATGTGGAAATCACAGAATATGAAAAGAACCTGGAAATATCTCCTATTTCTTTGATTATATCCATATCATTCTTATCTTCCCCAGAATAATTGATTGCTTTTTAAAAGAATATTTTGTCTGAGCTCCAAAAATTAGAAGGCATGCAACAATGACATTTTCAATAAGTATTACTCTTTGGGAAGACAGAGTATTTAGAAAAAGTAATGTAGAGCAAAGGAGAACAGTGCAGAAAGGTAACTGACTTTAGAGCAGCAATAAATGAGAGATTAAGTGCTAGCTACTCAGAATCTACCTTGATAAGAGAAGAAATGTGACAGAACATTGAGGCCACTTCCTTCTTTATAAAAATTAATTTTGGAAGTTTCATATGTCAACTCCTAGGCCTGTTGCTACTTGACGTTTCATCTCATGCAGGCCAGAAATATTCATGCATAAATTAGGAACGAGTGGCTTATTACAGTGTAATAAATTACCTGATATGGCTTTTCTAGCTCTAAGTCTTTGTAAACTCCATGGTGGAATTGGCCATGAGCAACCAAGTAGCTCCTGATTGTTGGTTATCTACCTGGGGTATTTCTGTTGGGAGCAGCACAAAGTAATTTTCTGGGAAGTTCGCTGTCTCTCAGGTGTATGGAATTCTGATGTTGGGATTGGTTAGTTTGGCCACTCGGCCAGGCTCAAAAGGAGGCCTCGTAGAGGCAGAAGGGGTCTTGCTGTCTGACTGCTGGCTGAGAAAGACATGCTGCTGAGAGAAATGTGCCCCTGAGAGACACGTGCTGCTGAGAAAGAGACACCGCATTGCTGAGAGAGAGACACCGAGAGATGCGCACTGCTGGGAGAGAGACAGAGAGAGTGCTGGCTGAGAGACAGCGGGCTGAGAGAGACTGAGCGTTGTCCCTGAACTTGAATTGTAGCCTGGTGCTTCCTTAATAAAGCCCGTAATCTGTAGTTCTGTGTGGCCACTGCAGCGAATTATTGAACCCAGCAGAGAGGTGGTGGGTTCTGCAGGAGGAATGGTTGGTGTCAGGGCTGGAGGGAGGCAGCGTGTCTGGCCTCTCAGGAATAGGCCTTGGGCTACTGATGGTGATTCTGTTTTCCTCTTGTGGGGTTAGAAGAGGTCAGAAGATGCGGCCTCCCTGGCCGTTTGGCATTCATATAAGTATTGCTACAGTTTGTGTTGAAAATGATCACCATCCATTCATTCATGATATCTTGGCTCATGAAGAACCATTGGATTGACTCTTCTCTGATGGAGTTCTGCCTTCTGCGCTAGATGCAGTTTGACGTTTTGAAGACTGATCATTGAGCCCATCCAAATTTGTTAGTTAGATGAATGAAATAAGAACAGTTGGTTTAGTGAGCTTTTATATACAGGTAACTCTAGTTGTTGCCTATAGAAATGATCAGTGCAGCAGAGCATTTCATCACCTGTACAAAGATGTACTACCTAAACTGTTCTTAATGAGTGGAGGGTTTTTCTTACAGCAACCCAAAGCCTATCCTTCCTGTTCCCCCCCCACCCCAGCCAATTAGTTGTCTAGGTGATTTTATCACTGCTCAGGGGGCAGGGAGTGACATCTTCTGACTTCCTTTAATTACACAAGAAGAAGACAGAATCACCATCAGCAGCCCAAGGTCTGTTCATATTAGGCCAGACATGCCATCACCCTCCTACCCTCTTACTTACCATCCTTAGTCCTCAACTGTCCCTCCCGCAGCACCCACCACCTCTCTGTTGGGTTTGATAATTTGCTGCAGTGGACACAGAGAACTCAGAGATTATGGGGTTTATTAGGGAAACAACAGGCTACAATTCAAAGTTCAGGAACATGTTCAGGATACAGTTCATCGATCAGGACAGTCTTCTCTCTGCTGTGCCCTTCGACACACCTCTGGCTCTTGACCTCCCAGCCTGGCCTCTGCATCTGTGAGCCTGGTCAACCTGCCGCTCTGTCCCAGGCCTCTTGGTTCCACTGCCGCCATCTCTTAGCCGGGCATCTCTCTCATCTGGGCATCTCTCTGATCCAGCAGTGAGATCCCCTCTCTGCCTCTAAAACCAAAAAACTAAACACACTGCCATTGAGTCTGACCTGACTCACAGTGACCTCCTCCTTGGGTTTCCAAGGTGGTATCACTATGGAAGTAGATTGCCCAACCTTCCTTCCAAGGAGTGGCTGGTGGGTTTGAACTGCCAGCCTTCTGGTTAGCAGTCAAATGCGTAAGTACTATGCCACCAGAGCTCCCTAGGAGGACTCATTTTAAGCCTGGCAGAGTGGCAAAACTAACCAATCCCAGCATCAGAGTTCTACACACGTGAGAGAGAGCAAACTTTCCCAGGAGATTACTTCGTGCTGCTCCAACAGAAATACCCCAGGTAGATGACTTTACAGTCAGAAGTTTAAAAGCAGCTACTCAGTTGCTCACAGCAAATTCCACCATGGAGTTAATTGCCAGTCTCATTGTAGGAAATAACTACTACCAGCTGCCTAGCCAAGTTGACACATATTTGCATGGTCCTACACAGTAATCTGGTGGCAGTTACAAAGACTATGGCTAGAGAAACCATACCATGTAACTCACTCCCCGCAATCAGGTACATGTAAATCAGATACATGTAAATAACATAGATTCTTACTATTTTTGACAGAGTAAATGAGTACTGGTTGAATAGATTAAGGGAAAACTATGACTTTAAAAATTGACTAACTTTACATCACATTCTAGGATATTAGCCCTGGATGCTTCTGTTACTTAGTGTCTGACTTTGTTTCTTTCTTACTGTTTAGGTCCCTCAAGACCCACTGAAGTTTTATAAGAAGATTTACTTCTGCCACAGTTGCCAGCTCTACCTGCCTTCCACGGAATTTTCTGTATTGACCACCTCACAGCGCATCTACCGGTGTCGCCACTGCTGCAACCTTGACAATGAGACGCGAAAACGAGAGTCGTTTTTGAAGTACAGATGTTTGCTACAGCGGCTCTACTTTTCAGAAGCTGATTATGATGATGATTCTAAAATTGCTTACCTGATGCAGGTATGATTGGTGACAGGCACCAGCTGTGGGTGAAATGTGTCTTTCACAGAGGCTGTCATCAAAGGGGTTGGAGTGGAATGACATGAAGAGCAGTTGAGCACGTTCTTACGTGGGAAACTGCCCTTGGTTCTCTAAGGTGGACAGTGACATTTCTGAGTTGTATGTGTAGCCATGTTCTTGGTATTTAAGTACTGTGCTAAACACTGAGAATTCACTAGTGAACAAGACCTTAAAACAAACAAACAAAAAAACCCACTGCAGTTGAGTCAATTCGGACTCATAGCAACCCTGTAGAACTGCCATATGGCATTCCTACAGCTGTAAATCTTTACAGAAGCAGACTGCCCTATCTTTCTCCTGCAGAGCAGCTGGTGGGTTCTAACTGGCAACCTTTTTGGTTAGCAGCCAAATACTTTAATCCCTATCCCTCCAGAGCTCCGTGAGTAAGAACTTACAGCCTAGCAAAGAAGAGAGATTTTAAAAAATATTACAAGTTCCTGTAATAACATATATACAGTGTTATGAAGGAGAAGTAGTGGGTACTATGTAAGTGTTATATGAGGAATTAATGTAATCTGAGGGCCAGAACAGGGTTCCTTGAGGAATGATAAATGATGAAAGAATAAATAGGGGCTTGTCTGGTGGCCATGCTGAGGGAGGCATTGCAGAGAGCAAAAATAGCGTGTCTGAAGATCCAGAGGCCGCAGGGGAATTGTGCTGTGGCAGGAGAGAGGATGTGCTGTTTGGGCATTTTTATTTTTGAGACTGAGGAGACAAAACACCTCTAGTGATGTTGAAGAAGGTCCAGTGGTGAGGGAGAGATTGAAGGCGCAAGTATATTGTCTCTAGTCGGATGTAAAGTACCCAGACCTCTGGAGAAAATGGGAATCTAGCAAAGAAATGCAAGGCGTGAGAAACGAAAATGTGAACAAGGTGCATACGTGAAGTATTCATTTTTAAAATTCTACACATTTATTTTCCATAACAGCTGTTGTAGTATTGTATTTTTTTTGCATTAAGTAAAAGTTAGATTGTGTTAGTTGAGCTTAATATAATGAATTCCCATCTCTGAAACATTGTAGTGGCTGATGGTGACAAGTTCTTCTTTTTAGGAAAATTTAGTAAATCGTGTAGGTTTTTGTCCACTGAATTTATAGAAGAAACTCCTGCTTTCCCACCCAAGCCTTTGAAAATAATGGTCTTTGTTTTTATTGTTTATATTTTGTGAACTTGCCCCTCTCTGGCGATTCTAAGTTTATTTATGTAGACTTCATGATAAAAGTCATTAAAGAGTTTTAGCTAACATAAGTTTAATTTTAAAAAATGTGTTAAATACTTATTTCACTCACGCACTTTCCCTTTCTGTTCTCATTAAAATAAGTCTCTTCATAACACTAAATGTTTACTTAAACTTTATCAAATCTTCGGTTTCTTCATTTGTAAAACAGGAATCAAAATCCGTAAAGGATTTTACACTAGCACTGAGGTGGTAGCCACTCCCTGGCAGGAAGACTGGGCAATCTACTTCCATAGTGATTCCACCTTGGAAACCCAAGGGGGTTTGCTATGAGTCAGATCTGACTCTATGGCAGTGAGTTTGGTTTTGGTTATAATATAAGTGTAAGGTGAAATTATCACACTGGAAGAAAGACATAACTTATTCTGGGCTAAAGATGGGGTCATGACCGCGAGACTGGTAATGTTAGGTCATTTGGGATGAAAGAACAAAGGTCTGGTGAAAAATAGGAGCTCCTGTGATGCAGTGGTTGAAGTATTTGACTGCTAACCAAAAGGTTGGCAGTTTGAACCTACCAGCTGCTCCGGGGGAGAAAAATGAGACAGTTTGCGTCTGTAAAGATTTACAGCCTTGGAAAATTCATGGAGTAGTTCTACTCTGTCCTGTAGGGTTGCTGTGAGTTGGGATCAAGTTGACTTTTTTTTTTTTTTTAAAATGGGCCACTGAAAAGGAGCTCTGGTGGCACAGTGGTAAAGCGCTCAGCTGCTAACCAGAAGGTTGAAGTTTGAACCCACCAGCCTTTCTGTGGGAGAAAGATGTGGCATTCTGCTTCCATAAAGATTACAGCCTTGGAAACTCTATGGGGCAGTTCTGTTTTGTAGGGTTGCTAATGAGTTGCAATCGACTCCACGACAGTGGGTTGGGCTTTGCCATTGAAGGTGGCACCTGGGTGGTGCAAACAGTTTATACTTGTCTACTAACCTTAAAGGCTGCTGGTTCAAACCCACCCAGTGGTTCCACAGAAGACAGATCTGGTAAGATGCTTCTGTGGAGATTATAGCCAAGAAGACACTTTGGAGCAGTTGTGCTTTGTCACCTGGGGTCATCATGAGTAGGAAGTGATGCAACAACAGTGGGTTGTTGTGTTTTTTTTTTAATGTGTCATTGAAAACTTCATGAATAATGTTTACTTTTACAAAACACACTCAGCATAATTTAATTATTTCCTTTAGCTAACATGATAGTCTTAAAGGGAATTTTATGTATAGAAGTAACCATAACATTTTTTTTGGGGAGGGAGGGATCTAGGTTTTTTTGTTGTTGTTGTTGCCGTTTAGAGTGTATCTACTTAATGTAAATGTTTAGTTCATATGCCTGTCTTTTGTTTAGCTGGAAGCCACAGGAATGGGTTCAATTCCAGACCTTAAGGGCAGCCAGGGGCCATAGTCTCAGGGGTTCCACCGGGCTCTATCTGACCAGCAAACCTGGTCCTTTTTTTTTTTTTTTTTTTTATGATTTTCAATTTTTTTCCACATTGTTCTCCAACTCTATCCAGGATCTCCTACATATATCCCTCTCTGAGTGGTTGACAGTGGTAGCCAGGCACCATCTAGTTCTTCTGGTCTCATAGGCTGAGGATCACATGGTGTACCAGTTGCTTGTACTAATTGTTTCCGTGCATCTTTGATTTTCTTCATTCTTCTTTGCTCTGGACAAGCATAACATTATTTTTCGAATTTGTCTTGACACACAGCTGCAGGATATTCAGTACCTGGTGGAGAACATCTGGGCATCCCAGTCAGTACTCAGTGCCTGGGACAATCTCAATGATTTGGTCATGGTCAGGTGGGAGAAGTCCTTGCAGTGGTCCCCCTGGAACTGCATTCTCCTTACCAAAGACGAAGGCCTTGCTCATCTCAAACTATCAAGTATAGAAGAGGTAAGAAAAGTGAACTTTATCTGGGAATTAATCATTGGAATCATTAGAGATAGTTCACTACCTTTTAATGCACACATGCATGATTTAAATACCTAAGATGGATTAGGAAACAGAGAACTTATGGATACCAGTAACAAAATATGTGATGGTATATATGGAGAAGATTAAAATTAATAGAAACCTAAAATACATAAAAGATGTATAGTATAACAAATCTGAATGTCTTGTAGGTACTTAAATCAGATATGACTCTACTAACAGCCAGTTTAAGCACAGAGAAGGGGTTATTAGTTCGATTACTGTGATATTTTACAGTGTGATACATTCTTGAGAGGTTTTCTTTCCTAAAGTTTCTTAAAAAAAAAAACAATCCCAAACTCATTGCAGTTGAATCAATCCTGACTCATAGTGACCCCTCCTTGGGTTTCCAAGGAGGTATCCCTACAGAAGTAGATTGCCCAACTTTCCTTCCTTCCTGAAGTTACTAATATTGTTTAATTCTTTATTGAATTATTCTCTCACTGAATTCTCAGTTACATGAAGGCAGGGATTTTGTTTAGCTTATTTTCCTCTCTATCCCTAATTCCTCCAATAGTGCCTGTCACAGTCTCGGGGTTCAATAAATATTTGTTTAATGAGTAAATGAATGTTTCTACTACATAGATATTATGAAACCAAGAATCTCTCCTCTTTTGATCATCTGAGTTCCACCTTACAGCACATTTAAATTCTCAACTCAATTCTGTTCACGATGTTATACTCTAAACGGCAACCATACTGATGGGGTAAGGCTCTGAGGCTCTATTTTTCATTTGCTTCCAACTAACCAGCAGTGTGTGAAGGTGCTGCAAAAATTAAATGCCATTTAATTTCAGTAACTTACAAGATGCAATCTGTGAAACATCTTGATTGGAGGGGCCCCTGCTGAGTTCCTGGAGAGCCTCATTTAACTATGCCAGCCTAGGGTCCCAGGAGCTGATATTGATTCTCTGTCCTCCGTTGATTCAATTGCTGTGCCTTTAATTCCGGGGAAGACACCGACTAAGGGAAAATAAACAAATGGCTTTAAATACAACAGTTATTTTGAATAGTGCATTCCCTACCTGTTTCTTTCTTTTCTTGGGGGGTAGTTTGAATAGTGTAAAAGGAGAAGTTAGCTACAAGTTTCGCTTTCTGAATAATTTTTCAGTAGAGTTTTAAGAAGCTAGAATGAGAAAAAGTTCACTCTAGGGATTAAAAGAAAGGGCAGCAAGAAATTGAAACAGCACTCAATATATTTAGTAAACTATGCTGCCTCAAAATTATTTAATCACTGGAGACAAAGCCAATACCCCGGTATCATTTCGTTTAGGACCCTTGGTGAGATTGAAGTTCATCTGTAAAGTGGATGTTCCTGGGCTTCAATTAATCTACAAAATTCCCTTTGTGTGTTCAGTCAAATTACTGCAGTATCAAATGAAATGTTCTGTTCCCATGCATTTCTAATTTCAAGATGCCAATCTTACTGAATTTCTGTAATTAGAGCTAAGGTTCTAAATCAGACAAATTCAAAAGCATTTGCTCTGACTGTGGTTTTAGGCTAGTGTAACCTTTTAATATTCAATCTAGTAACAGAACAGTTTATGGCTTGTGGCAAGTTAGAACATTTTAGAATTTCCTTAATGCAGAGAGATTTACTCTCTCAGTAAGTAAAAAGCACTCCAAAGTTAAATAATTTTAACTCCTTGTAATCATGATGCAAGTTATAGGAAAAACATGGCAGAAGACTTACCTGTTCTCTGAGCAGTACAGGAGGCAGATCAGTCTTTGATTGTGTGCACGTTGGCCAAAGCAGAAAACAGGCAGACTGTGAAGTCAGAGGACCTGACCCACTTGCCATGAGATAACTCGGACAGTAACTGTGTATATGGAAACACTTTAAGTACTTTTTGGCTTATTTTTAATTATCCTAAAAACAAGACATTCTCGTTTAAAAACATCTGAACAGGGTGAAAGGGTGTAAAAGTGGAAAATAAAAGTCTCATGATATCTACCAGTCTCTACTTCTGCTTCCAAGGGGTAACTACTATTTCTTACATACAATTTGTTGAACTCTTTCTTTAAGTTTTCTATGTGTATGTAAGTATATATACTCTTCTCCCAGGATTGTTTTCAGGTCAAATGCCATGTTTTCCTCAACACTAGATCTTGGACTTCTTTACTATCTTTCCATATCATCTTATCCTTTAAGAAGAAACCAGTTGCTCTCGAGTCAATTCCGACTAATGGTGACGCATGTGTGTGTCAGTGGAGGTCTGTGCACCACAGGGTTTAAAATGGCTGATTTTCTGAAACAGACCCCCAGGCCTTTTTTCACAGGTGCCTCTGGGTGGGCTCAGCTCTCTAGCCTTTCAGTTGGCAGCTGAGTGTGTAACTGTTTGCCCACCCAGGAGCCCCTCTTACTCTTTAAGAGTTGCTTATTATTCCATTGACTGTTGGTGCTGTAATAGGTTTATCTTATCTTTAATCACTGGTTTTTGGTTCTATAAAGGTACTTTGCAAATCTATAGTGTTTTTTACATGTGTAAGTTAATACTGCATCATAGGAATGTGCTTGTTTCCTTGGAATGACATCTAGATTAAGAAGTGGTAGAACAAAGACTGATGAATGCAGAGGGCAAGTATTTTGACCTGGTAAATATAGAAAGAAGAAGCTTTAAAATAACCCCAGGAAACTCCTGCTTTGTCAAGAACATCCAATCTTTTTTCCCAGGGCTTTCTTCTCCCTTCAGTTTGACCCTCTGAAGTGAGCTTTTTTTGAAGGGATATTCTCAGAAAATAAACGTTAGGAGGAGGTACAGGTAGTATTCTTGATTTGGTTGAAAAGAGCCACTGAGATTAATAAAGAGAATTGCAAGAACAGTTGCCATGGAATTGATTCCTATTCATGGCAGTCTCATGTGTGCTGGAGAAGGACTGTTCTCCATGGGGTTTTCAAGGGCTGATTTGACAGTAGATTGCCAGGCCTTCTTTCCAGGGGTTTGGGTGGATTTGAACTTCCAACCTTGCAGGTAGCCCACAGGCACATTAATCATTCCTACCACCCAGGGCCTCAAATAAAAAGTCAAGATAGCATTTATTCATTCACTCAGAATTTACTTTTGAATGTACCAGATCCTGTGCTGAATACTTAGAAACAAAGAAATATAATGATAAAACTCTCCCTTCTTTTGGTTGCATTTGGATTCAGCTGCAAATAACAGAATAACCAATTTATAGTGACTTAATCAAACAGGGATTTAGTTTTCTCATAGAACAGGGAATCCAGAGGTTGGCAGCCTGGGGCTGGTTCAGTAGCTCTACAGTGCTGTCAGAAACCTGGGCCCTCTGACTTTTCCCTCCGCCATATGCAACATTGGACCTTCATTTTCATGCTGTGGACTCTTAGTGATAAGATAGCTGCTCCATCTCCTGTGCTATATCCCCCTGCCAGGTATGGAAAATGGCTAAAGGTGCTTGACAAGTGAGTCTGCCCACCCTTACAAACCCCTTAAAGAGGTTATGTTGAAGCTTTATCCAGTGACTTGCACATGATGGCCAGAAACATGGCCACTCTTAGCTAGAAAGAAGGTTTGGCAGGCTGGGTATATCCGCATCCGATACAAAATCAGGTCTCTGAGTACGAATGGGAAGGAGAATGGATATTGGGTTGGCAACTAGCAGTCTCTGCCACTCTCATTTGAAAACTCCAAACCAAACCAAACTCACTGCCTCAGTAGTTGAGTTGGATCCGGCTCATAGCAATCCCTCCTTGGGTTTCTGAGGCGGTATCACTACGGAAGTAGATTGCCTAACCTTCCTTCCGAGGAGTGGCTGGTGGCTTTGAACCGCCAGGCTTCTGATTAGCAGTCAAATGCCTTAGGTACTATATCACCAGAACTCCCTTATTTGAAAACAGATACTTATAATCTGAGCATAACAGAGAAACTATAGAGTGCTGTTACAGCTTGGGAGATATAAGAAACTTACACATGAAACAAGAACAAATAAAAGTGTTAAGGTGCCAAGATCTGATGACAAAGGCAGGAAGCTATTTACTATTTAGAAGACAGAAGAGGAAACAGCAAAGGCACTCAGAAAAGTGGGAATGGGAGGTTGCAAGCTGGGTGACCAAAGAAAAGTTACATTGTCACAGCAACCAGGTGATCTGTATTGTTCTGGGGAGGAGGAAGGAAAGACTCAGTTTAGACAAAAAGAAATCTTTCAAGTTGCTTATTGTATCAGTGTTGAAGTGGATTTAAAGGCTGAAATAGATTTAAAGAGAACCAGAGCTGGCAAGAGCATTCATCCAGAAAAATGCAATTGAGTATTTTGAAAAAAGACCCATTTGGACCCTGTGGTAGTTAAGTTGTGTGTCAGCTTGCCTGGGCCTGGTTTTTCGTGGCTGGGCAGCTGGATGTAGTTATTCCCCACGATGAGACTGGTAACCAACTCTGTGGTGGAATCCCCTGGAGCAGCTGAGTAGCTGCTTAGGGATGTGGTCTGCTTCCTGTAGATAAGAAGCTTTGAGAAAAGTCTCTACAGCTTTTTGGTGCTCTTGGACCCTACGTGTAGCCAGGTGTTGACTCAGCAACCTGTTGTGTTTCCTGTCAATCTTGCAGCTGTCTCTAGACTTAAGCTGGTGGCCTGCTGTGTTGTTTGGTAATCTTGGGACTGTGTCATTTTATTTGTCAACCTTGGTTTTGTCAGCCTCAGTAGCCAGCAGTTGCCTGAGCTAAGAGATGCCTCCATCTTAAGTGGGCTGAAGGCAAGAGGCAGAGCTAAAGCCCGAGGTTGAGGGGCTTTCACCCAGCCCCTAGAGCAGGCACTTTGAACTCAGACTTCTAGCCTCCTACACTATAAGAGAATAAACTCCTGTTTGTTAGAGCCCGCCATTGTGGTATGTCCTATTAGAGCTGCACCAAAAAAATCCTCCATAGGGTTTCCTTACCGTGAAAGATATTTTCAAGCAAAGAAGTGAAATTCAAGGCTGAATGAACTAAGTATCAGAATTAAAATGCAGTAAAAGTGTTTGCAGGAACAGAGGCAGGACTGATTAGTTTGGGGTTAGAGGTTAGAGGAGGCTTCAAGATTAAAGCACTTGAGGTAAGCCCTCAAAGGTGATAGGCAAAGTGGAAAAAAGTGTAATCGGGGCTGAAATAATTAATGAGCAAAGCCACCGAGGCACTGTTGTTACCTAGCTGAATATATCCATGACATCTAATGAAATTTGATCTTCTTTTCTTCTCAGGGATATGAACCCTTGTTTATTCACAAGATCAAACACAAACATATCCTGGCTAAGAACTATTTTTCTCAGATTCCAGTGCTGGCTTCATTCATACTTGATGACAAAGACATGGACGAGATCAGAAAGAAGCATCACCCCAAAACATCACCTAAGATTATCGAGTCCAAGAGGCCCTGCCCTTAGAAGGACTGGGGTGTTTGTTTGACGATCAGCATTTTTGACCACTGCGAATAGACGAATACAGAGGTCACATAACATTGAAAAGAACGTTATCTATTTATTGATTTTAGTTTTTTTTTTTTTTTGGTGGTAACAGAAATTATACCAATATAAATATTTCCTGTGTAAATTTTTTATTGTTTATATCATTTATGAACAATACATAGTGTTGTTAAATATTTATATTCTATATAATGCTAAATGTTTTTATCCTGTATAAATGTTTTGTTAGGCAGTTTGTTAAATTACAATGCTATTTGCTTAGTAAAACTAATGTTTTAAAGTAAATATTTTATTTTTACATATTTTACATACAGTTTTTATTCAGATTTCAAGGGCATTATAGTTAAAATCCCACAGACAAACAAAACTTAGACTTTACTTTGAACCCAAGCAATTTACTTTAGATAAAATGTAGCCATGGGAAAATACCCATGCAGATGGGAGGAAACAATACAGAATTCTCTTTCTTGAAAATCTTTACAAGTAAGATAATCACTTTACGTTAAGAAATTTAAATCTTGCCTTTTTATCTTTCACTTTACCTTCTTTTCAAAACCACAGTAAGTCAACCAAAAGTATTTCTAAACAAGAAAATAATCCGCATTCCACACTGTAAAACAAGGTAAACATTGGAACTACCTTTCATCCTGTGTGAGAAAAACTATCCTTGGCACGGTGGTGAAACTGTTGGGTGAATAATTTGGGAATAGATTTCTCTTTTCTAAATA